AAAAAAAAAAAAAAAAAAAAAAAAAAAAAAAAAAAAAAAAACAGCCTCCTTCCGTCACCCAGCCTGGAGTGCAGTGGTACAGTCTTGGCACACTGCCATCTCCACCACCTGGGCTCAAGCAATTCTCATGTCTCAGCTGCCTGAGTAACTGGGACTACAGGCGCACACCACCACACCCAGCTAATTTTTGTATTTTTAGTAGAGATGAGTTTTCACTATGTTGACCAGACTGGTCTCCAACTCGTGGACTCAAGTGATCCACCTGCCTTGGTCTCCCAAAGTTTTGGGATTATAGGTGATAGCCACTGCACCCCCCAAGCTATTTCTAAGACTACTGTATTCAAGCTGATGGTATCCACACCCAATACACCCACTTCTTATCTAAGGCTCCTGTAGAGACACTGGGCTTCTCGAAGGTCTAGTAGGAAAGTTCCCTTTGAGTTTACAGCCCTGAGGCAAGGAGTCAATCCCCTAACAGGGGTTATAGCTGCTGTTGTCAACTGGGCAAGCAGCAGGGACTCACAGCTCCTACCTCTGGAATTTGAGCCTCATACAATGCAGTTGGAGGAATAGATGTATGCCTGGGGATGCTCTTGACCCAACTACCCTCAGCATTCATAGAACAGAACCACTTGGAGACCTGTTAGAAGGCTTGAAGCTCAGGCTACACCCCTAGATCATCTAAATGAGGATCTTTGAAGATGGAACACACATGTCAGTATTTAAGCTTCCTGGGAAACTCCCATATCCATCCAAGATTGAGGACGAGCATTCAAGGGGCTGGGATCTGGTTACCGCCAAGTATCAAAGGTCTTGATATCTAGGGAACCAATCAGTTGGATTTCTCCTGTCTACTTCTCTCCCCTCCCAGAGCTGAAAGCAAATTGTTTTCTAAACCAGCAAATATAATGACATTAGTTTGTTTCATCATATACCAGCTATTAATTAAAACTTCCAGCTTGGTATCTGTTCTATTATAGGGAACTAAAGAGAGTCTCTTCTAAGTTTGGGCCGTGGCTCTAAAGGGGTAAGTCCCTTCTGAGGCCAGCATTTATTTGAGATCCAAGCGAGGGGAAGAGGAATCCAGGTGCCACAGGCCCAGCCACACCACCTTCCCCAAATGGCAGCTCTCCTTTGGCCACCTTGGAAGATGAGATAATGTTGTATTAGAAGAGTCAGCGTGGTTTTTTTGTTTTTGTTTCTAATAATCTTTGTCTAAAGCAAACAGGGCTTTGGGGAAGGAAAATATATATTCACATAAGTACTCATTTCTGAAGTTCCTACCTTCACAACTTAGAGTAGGATTAGCCATCCACTTCTAGACAGAACACAAGATACCAGACATTCAGAAATTAAAGCTCATCCTGTTTTTGTTATTGCTGTTGTTTTTGTATTTTGCGGGGGTTTTTTTGTTTTGTTTTGTTTTGAGATAGAGTCTCGTTCTGTTGCCCAGGCTGGTGTGCTGTGGCATGATCTCGGCTCACTGCAACCTCTACCTCCCCGGCACAAGCAATTTTCCTGTGTCAGCCTCTCAAGTAGCTGGAATTACAGGCATGCGCCACCACACCTGGTTAATTTTGCATTTTTAGTAGAGGCCTGGTTTCACCATGTCGGCCAGGCTGGTCTCGAACTCCTGACTTCAAGTAATCTGCCTGCCTCAGCCTCCCAAAGTGCTGGGATTACAGGTATGAGCCACCACGCCTGGCCTTGTCTTGTGTTTTAAAACAGCACCTCCATCTTCTGTCTACACCGTGCTGTGGTATCTGACCTTTCTTGCCCTCCTTCAGTCTTCACATCTTGCCACAGTTAAATCTGAGACAGCACATAGGGTCTCGGTATATTAAGGGCACATCGGAGCCCAAGCAAATCCAAGAGTTCCCCATGGCTATGAGGCCCGGCCAACATGCTGGCCTGCACTGGAGCTCAGTACCTGTGTTCTGGAGCAGCTGACACAGCTTGTGCTGGGTGATGCCAGAGATGCTGTGAAGGTAACCAAAGGCACTGACCACAGAGGCTACCTCCTTGTTGTGGGTGTACAGAGCACCAAAGCGGAAGCCAGAGATGCCAAAATCCTAGAGGAAGAAAAGTGGAACAAGAACAAGTGTTTTGTCTGCCTTCTATTCCTGGCTCCCCCTCCTTCCCTAGCCAAGGAGAAAAAGCAATGGCTCACCTTACTGGTACCCCAGATCACATGGGTCCTGCTGCGATCAGGCAAACTGAAGAAGAAATGGAAAAAATAACTAAGGTTAGAGAGAAATAGTTGATGAAGATCTGGGGCCTACGAGGGGAAAGTGGATTTGAGGTTCTTCCTCGATAGCAGGGCCTATGGGGCCCAAAGTTCAGGAAACAGTGTCCCAGTTAAGCCAGGAAGTCAACACAAGGTATCCCTGAAGACCTAGAGGGAACAGCACCCGAGTGCCCACTGAACAAAGTCTAGGACCTTCAGCTTGACGTGTGGCTCTCCTACAGCTTGGCCAAAGCCACCTTCTTGGCAATTGGGCCACCATCATTTCTAGAACGTGCATGACTATTTCTCACTGCCCCGCCTTTGGTGAAGCGGTTCCTTCTGCCAGGCACTTCCTTCTTTTGCTTCGATTGCTGGAATCCCATCTCTGGGGCAAGATACCACGCTTCAGAAGGTTCTGTCCCTTTTTTCTTTCCCTGTAGGAGCCTCATAAAAGCTCCTACCCTGGCATTTTATGAGGCTCTATTTTGACCTTTGACAGTAGACTTTCCACCTTGACCTCAAATTATCCTGTATACAAAATATAGCATGTAGACTAGAAGACATTTAGGGGGAAGATGATGCTTTGCTTGTATTCACAGCCCCTGTGGGCAGTTAACTCTGTTCCTAGCATGTAGCCAGTTAAGTTCATGTCACATGAACTCACCTTGCAAAACCAGAACTTGTGGTTCTCGTTCCCAACTCCAGCTGAGACCAACTCACCTTTCCATGCTCAGAACACTGTGGAATGTGATAGATTCATCAAACACAGACAGCATGTAAATCTCATCTATGATCACATGTAGATCATGCCTGTAGATGAGATGAAAGAAGGAGAACAAGTTCTAGCTTGTCTCTGTAATCTTTTGTCTTTGCATGCTTTTTACAAGCATCTTTGTCATCTTAACTCATGTCTTTTACGGTGTTCTCTAGACACAGATCATGCGCTCTTACTGCTCCAGCAGCCCATCTGAGCCTCCCAGGGGCACAGTAAGGTAGATGGGGTGGTACACCAGAAGGGACCCTTAGACCTGGCTTGGGGGTACTGGGAAGGAATAGGCCCCAAAAGACCCATATGAAAGCGTCTTGTCTAACCTTAGCTGACCATTCAACCATCAAGCAGAGACCATGGGAAGAGGCTGGGTGGCCCAGATAATTTTTAACTGGTAGAGTCAGGAGCTCCTGACTGTGTATGTGCCTCATTCATTCTCCCAACAACCCTCAGTACTGTCATCTCCATTTCAGATGAATAAACTAAGGTGGACCAGGTACGGTGGCTCACGCCTGTAATCCCAGCATTTTGGGAGGCCAAGGCAGGCGGATCACAAGGCCAGGAGTTTAAGACCAGCTTGGCCAACATGGTGAAACCCTGTCTCTACCTAAAATACAAAAATTAGTTGGGTGTGTTGGTGCACACCTGTAATCCTAGCTACTCAGGAGGCTGAGGCAGGAGAATTGTTTGAACCCAGGAGGTGGAGGTTGCAGTGATCTGAGATCGTGCCACTGCACTCCACCCTGGGCAACAAAGCGAGACTCCATCTCAAAAAAAAAAAAAAAGGGAACTAAGGCTCTGCACTGTAAAGTCAGTTCCCTCAATTAGCAGGTGCTATAGCCAGGATGTGAACCCATTCTATCCAATTCTTGCCCACCCCCTCTAGCATTTTTCCTCCTGACCCCACGCTGCGCCATTCATTGGTCTGGGTTAGTCATGAAGTTTGATTAAGTCTCTTTCTAATGGAAAATGGAAGGTTATCTGCCTTAAGTAATAGGGCTATTTCAGGACTCCAGAGAAAACTGAGGTTAACGTGCTTTTAGGGAAGGATCGTGAAGTTCTGCAGGAACATGCCTTTATTATATCAGGTCTGAGAGTCTCTTCCTCGGCCCCCCAGCCCTGCCTTTGGAAATGGATGCTGGGAGAAAGTACTTATGCTTAAGTAGAAAAGTAACAAATCATGTATTTGTAAGTGACATTTTCCTCAGAAAAACAACTATATTTTGACTATTATGTAAATGTCAATACTTGGGCAGAGGCTAGAAAGGAAATGGCAAAAGTGTGAAGGGGTAAGTACGTGGTTATGTTTTCCTTCATTTTAATTTCAGTTAGTTGCACATAACTCTGAAAAGTATGGTGTATAGTGAGAAGATTTAGGGTAAATTACCTTTTTTTTTTGTAAATTACTTTTTGAGATAGTCTCACTCTATTGCCCAGGCTGGAGTGCAGTGGCACGATCTCAGCTCACTGCAACCTCCTCCTCCCGGCCTCAAGTGATTCTCATGTCTCAGCCTCCCAAGTAGCTGGGATTACAGGCGCCTGCCACCATGCCTGGCTAATTTTTATGTTTTTAGTAGAGACAAGGTTTCACCCTGTTGGGCAGGCTGGTCTCAAACTCCTGACCTCAAGTGATCCACCACCTCGGCCTCCCAAAGTGCTGGGATTACAGGAATATACCACCAGGTCTGGCTCTTGCCTTCTTGACTATAAGTGATGGAAACCCTTTCAAGGAACATCACCTCGTCTCATGGGGTGGAACTCATACCTCTTGGCAAATTCCAGGTATTTCATCAGCAAGTCTGGGGAGTAGATGTCACCCAAAGGATTCTGAGGGTTGGTTAGCACAAGGCCTCGGACATTTTTCCCCTAAGAAAAACCCAAACATAACTGAGTGAATACAAGTCCTTCGTATCTACCCTAAATTCAGCCAAGGATTCTTTACAGGTCAGGACATCCAGGAAGGCCTAGGTAGGATCTTGAAGCGGCAACTACTGTAATGCCCACAAAGGGGAAAGAGGAAGGAAGTCTGGGGCTGCTGTAACATCCCATAGGACTCAGGGATCCTAGACGGACACACCCCTGGATCATTCACTGTCTCTTCCAACTTCTGACAGCCCACCAGGTCTCGGCGAACAAGAGTTTCAATACTCAAATCCCTTTTAAGACCAGCAGCGGTCACCCTAAAAATGTGGTTCCCTCCTTACCTGAAGCCTAGCTTCAAGCAGGGCTTCCTCTAACTTGTCCACAGTGAGCTGGAAAGGATAGGTGTTTATAGCAGTGATCTGGAAGAGAAACAGCACGTAAGAAGTGTCTCTTAAAATGTAAGCCTTGATTCCTCATTCCCATAAACCCCAGACAATCCTCTGCCTTCATACCAGGGTGCCAGCCCACATGCCCTCTCCACCCCAACTTCTCCACCTCTACCCAACCACTTAGATGGGTAGAAAGCAAGCCCTTCTACCCCTTTAAGTGTCCCCAGAACAGTCCATTGCCTAGGGGTACAGAGCAGGGAAGGGGCCCCATGCTAACCTTACTCTCCAGGTGGACAGGAATCAACTGAACCTTCGCGTACAGGCGGGAGCTAAAGGCAAAACCACCATAGAAGGGCGTGGGGACCAGGAAGGCCTCTGGAAACAGATACAGAGCCATCAGTCCAAGGTCTTTCAATCAGAGCCTGCTGCCAGTCTCCCCAAACTAGCAAAGCTATTGACAGAAAAAAAGTCAGTTTCACGATCCCTTCCCAGGGGATTAATGTTCTTAGGTTCAGGTGCTATGAAAGTTATCCATTATTATAGACATCACTGGGGGAAAGAAAATTCTAGTTTCTTTGTAGGTATACTAGAGAAGAAGAGGAGGAATATCACTGTGAATGGCTCAGAATTCAGGGCACAAATCAAACTAGGCTCACTAGCAGATGGAGCGATGGTTATTAGGAAAGCCTCATCTGATCCAGGCCAAATATCAGAGGTCAAGGTCCATGCACAAGGAGGGCTCCAGTCATTTGGACCTGGTGATCTTATGTTCTTTTCTTCCCATCCATTTGGCCTTACTGGGCAGCTAACAGAAGACCTGCTCCTTTGCATGAAAGGGACCGTCTTAGCCACTTGTTTTGATGCACCCAGAGCTCTTTAGGATTGGAGCCTCTTGCTTAAGCATTGTTCCGGGGAAGGTTGACAACAGTCCGTTCAACCTTGTTGGGTCCAGGATTAATTAACCTTTCTTTGAGGAGATAAGAAATCTGTATTGTCTGAGCCCGTTGCCAGGGTTCTCTGTATTGCAGATGAGCCCAAAAGTCCAACTATGAACACAGTAGCCAGCTTCCCATTGTCATTCCCGGGGCATACCTCCTTGAGGTCCATCATGTCTCTCTTCCATTAAATGGGGCATCCCACAGAAATGGGAAGATATCCTAGTCAGTGTGGGAGAAGCCCCAGCACTTTGGGGAAAAGGCCTTGAGTCAAGATGCTCTTCTTCCTCAAAATCCAGTGCCCGTGTGTTCCTACCCACGTGCCAGTATTTCACTGAGAGGGAAAGCAAAGCCCACTGACTTACCACCTGGGTCACACAGAACCATGGCCAGGGCAGAGAAGACAGAGCAGCAGCCATTTAGAACAACCACCTGAAGACAACACGAGAGGCAGAAGTCAAAACCAATACCCATGTGAGAAGGGGTAGCCACGCTGTGTCCATCCCCCTGACCAGGACAGGCATAGGGAACGTCCTCAGCCGAGACACATTGGCCTTCACACTGCTGTGACCCTGAGAGTCTCCACTGGTTCTCCTGGTACCCCCTAGAAAGGGCAGAGCATCCTCCAAGAATATAGCCCTCCACTAGGGTGGCAGCAAGGCTGGGAAACTGACTCACGTTTTCTGGATCAAGGCGGGCAGGTGCCCTGCAGTAGTAGGTCAGGAACCGGGCCACTTCTTCCCGCAGGCTGTAAACAGACCCAGAGAGACCCTGTGGTTCTCGGGCCCCTTTCCTCACTCCTGGCTTAGATGGTCATTGTCCAACCTAACAGGGACCTTTACTACCCAGCCCAACCTCACATTACAGAGCTACTGACTGAGACCATCAACTCCCCAGGTCACACAGACAATAAATGAGAGCTGGGACAAGAACTCAGGCCTTTTGAATTATTCCTACTATACCAGGCTGCCTCCTGATGGAGTTTTGCTCCCGGCATTTTCTAGAAGTTATTACTCAAAGAGATAGGGAGGTAACCAACTAGGAATTTGGTGCCTTGAATCCTCCTTCTGGATAAGGACAGCTGCCTGTGGGACCAAGAGACCCTAAATTCTGAAGGTCACTTACAACGGCTGCCCTCTCCAGTCAGGGCACTGCAGCAAGGTCTCCTCAACGCAGTTCATGTCACTTTCTTGCAACTGTTGATAAATAGGACATGAAGACAGGTAGACCAGGGAAGTCCAAGAGGCCTCATCCTACTCCTAGTTCGTACGAGTGTTTGCCCTCCACATACATGGCCTCCCAGAAAGGGAATGGGTATATACACTGCATGCTCCTTAATGGAGGCCGCCATCTTGTCATAAATTACACAGATACCTCACTGGGAAGTATTTGACCCAGAGGTTCCCATAGCAACCTACCCACCATCCACCTGATCAGAGAACACCTCTGGACGGTCAGCAAGGCCAGGAGGTTAGATGTGCTATTCTAGAAGCTATTTATCCACTCCTTTTCCCAAGCTTCTGTGTCTTACCCTAGTATCTATCACAGCTGAGAAGCACATTAAGGGGACTAAGCCTTGAAGGGGTGGGTCCCAACACAGCCCAGAACACGGCTTACTCTTTCAGCCATCAGGTCAATGCAGAGCTTGTTCTCACTGGTGCCAAGGTTAATGAAGCCCTGCAGATGGAAGGAATCGAAGGTCAGTTTGATCCTCTTGTTCCACCCTAGATAGATCCCTTGAAACATGCTAATAAATATTCATCTCGGACTAGTTCAAATGGAGATCTCACTGCCCACAAGGCAATTCAATCCACGTCTGACAACTTTAAGTGTTAGGAAAGCTTTCCATGAACCCAAAATAGTACAGCCTGCAAATTTCTTCCATAGAGCCACATAAATAAGGTATGTCCTATCAACCAGTCATTGAGTTCTTATTATGTGCCAGACACTAGACCAAGTGCTTCACGTGAGTTGTCTTAATTCCTGAGAAGAAGGTTCTATATGATCCCATTTAAAGAGTGAAGGTTAGAAAAGTCGAATAACCTACTGGCCATGTGACCTTGGGTGATAGGTAGAACTCTACCTACCTGACGCCTGAGCCTGGACCCTTAATCCCCAAAGCCCCGCCTGACACCTACCTCTGCAACTTCTCCTTACACATTAGGGCCTTCTAAGTTATTAGAGGAGAACAGAGATGGGAACAGAGGGGAAGGTATAGCTAATGTCGCCCTCCACCCTCTGTCTGGGGAGCTGCTGAGGACTTCACTTTGCCGTAAGCCTTTCTTCAGTTCCCTATCACCCTTAGGGTAACCTCCTTTTTCTTTTTCTTTTCTTTTTTGATATAGGGTCCCACTCTGTCACCCAGGCTGGAGTGCAGTGGCACAATCTCGGCTCACTGCAACCTCCACCCGCCAGGGTCAAGTGATCCTCCCACCTCAGCCTCTTAGATAGCTGGGACTACAGGTGTGCACCACCACGCCTGGCTAGTTTTTGTATTTCTTGGAGAGATTGGGTTTTACCATGTTGCCCATGCTGGTCTCGAACTCCTGGACTTGGGCGATCCACACACCTTGGCCTCCCAAAGTGCTGGGATTACAGGCTGAACCACCACGCCCGGCCCCTTAGGGTAACATCTTAACATCTCCCATCCACCTCTGTCCACACCTCCTGCCACAGCACCAGTGGTCTCTACTCTGGCCACTGGACCTCCTTTCCCAATCACTCCTAGCCCTTCCCATCTTAAAGATTTCACATGTGCTGTTTCATATCTGCCTGGAGGGTCATGGCCACGGCCGTCACCACGTGGCTGGCTGATTCAGCCTTTAAGACATCTTCCCAGACCACCTGAAGCGGACATCACTTTCATGCTCTTGGGGAGATTATTAATGCCTGTGCCCCAGTGGCTGACTCCATTCATCACTATGCTAAGTTCCATAAGGGTAGGCTCATTTGCCCTCGTGACCACAGGGACTGACTCCTAATGATTAAGAGCTAGGATTTAGGGAGAGAGAGGGATTTGGGGGTGGATGGAGTTCTCCAGCTTTCTGAGGCATGTCACCCTATTTCTTCAGTTACTCCCTTATCTGCAAGACGACAAGAGTGCCCATTTCATAAGGCTATGAAGAATGAGAACGCATAGAACACTTGGCACAGGACTCAATAAATCCAAGTGACTGGAGCCCGTGAGGATGCTGCCCGCCCTCCACCCCAAATTCTCACCAAGGTGTTCTTATCCTTATGATATTTGTCCTTTTGGTAGGCATTATAGTCCTGGAAGCTCGACCGATAGAGGGCAGAGATGTCAGTCCCACGGTTGGACAGGTCACGACTGACAAAGGCAGCTTCACAATCACTCAGTTGGGGAACTGGATCAGGCTGCCCAGATAGTTGGGTCCCCTGTCCATATCTGACATCACCCCTAGAGTCCCCGGAAGGAAGAGGCACTTGGAGCTCCAGGCCACTCGTGGCCCCAGACTGTAGGAGGTCGATCATCTGGCACAGCAAGCGACTTAGGAGGGCTTCCTGCTCACGGATGGCCTGGGTGTGCCTCCGTTCCTGCAGCAGGCCCTGCCTGCTCATCAGCTGCACAAAGTGCTCCCTCACAGTCTGCTGCAAGTGCCGCGTCACCTCCAACAGCCGGGTATAGATGCTCCGGTCTCTGAGGACCTGGCTTCTCGTCTTGCCAGAGGGCACAGGAAGGGTATCTGACCGATGACTCATACTCCAGGTATCTGTACTGGCCTCTGCAGGCTGCCTGGTACCTGCGGAGAAAGAGACCATGCATTGGAGCAAAGGAGGATCTCCTGGACCCTCAGGTCCAGAAATGGATGGAGACAGAACAGATCTCAGGCTGGCTCTTCTCACTTCCACGCCTTGGTTATACGACCAGATTGGTTCAGGAAGAGTTACCTACTCGTTTGGGCGATGAGTACGTGGCCCCAAGCCTAGACACTGTGCTCTACTTAAATGGCATTAGAATGTCTTCTGAGGAAGACTCTTAGGGTCCACTATGAGAGCAGGAGGATATGAACAAGCAAACTCTGGAATCGCCGCCACCCTGTTCCTCAACCTGAGCGGTTCCTGCTTTGTCTAGTTAAATAGGAAAAAAGGGTTTCTACTGCTCAGAAGCAACTGGCATCATTATCCACTGAGTAAAACATTCTGCTAGAATAAATTACTGCCTGAGGGCCAGATTTGGCCTGCCACTTATTTTTGTAGATAGTTTTATTGGAGCACAGCCCCATTCATTCATTTGTGTCTTGATTATGGCCACTTTTGTATGACAATGGCAGAGTTTAATAGTCATGACAGAGACCATGTGACAGAGACCATACAGTACACGAAGCCTAAAATAGTAACTGTCTGGCCCTTTATAGAAAAGGTTTGCCAAGCCCTGTTCAATACATCAGCCCTTCTTTTTGACTGTTCTTCTCCAGGTTGGCCATACCAGATACTCAAAGCCTTTAGATTCCTCAGTTCTTCTATCCTTTCTTGGCTTCCTGTAAATGCCTGCAACCTACTCCCTGCAATGGCTGCCTTAGGCTTCCATCACTTGTAACTATGTGCTAGGGATGTGGCTCACTTTGAAGTCCATCAGAATCACCTGGAGAGCATGGCAGGACACAGATGCTGAGACCTCACCCCTGAACTTTGAGTCAGTATGTCTGGGGTGAGACCTGAGAATCCTCATTTCTAGCAAGTTCCTGGGACTACACTTAGAAAAAAAAAAAAAAAAAAAAAAAAAAAAAAACCTTTTTTGGAGGGATTGGGTCTTGTTCTGTCACTCGGACTGAAGTGCAGTGGCACGATTATGGCTTACTGCAAAAGCTTTCCAAATATTCGGATTAACCTTCCTTCTGAAAACAAGTCAAAATGCGGAGCAAGAACAAAAAATACCTTCTTAAAGCCTCAAAGAATCAATAAATCAATAAATCTGATTTATTAAGATCCCAGGTCGTGAAGCTTGAGGCCAACAGCTGCCGCTACTTTTTAAAGACAATCTTCATATCCCAAGACACCAAGACCCTTTTTTCTAAAAACCTAGACTTACGCCCCTTCCACCAAATGCTACAATTCCAAGTTTTTTCCACTAAGTAACATCCCCCTACACACACACAAACAAACAAAAAAACCCTTGTTGCTTCTTTTATAGGTTTAAGGGACCAGTACTTGGGGGTAGCACTCCGCCCAACTTCTTCAAACCTTGTTCAGTTTGCTTGTGATGTTCCCATTGCAACCTACGCCCTCCCTTCATGACATTTAATATTGTTACTTGTTCAGTGTCTGCCCAGGTCGGCCTTCATTATTACATTCTTAGCACAGTACCTTAGCACATAGGCAACTAGCATAATTAATGAGTAGGAGACGCACAATCACAAGGACGTTGCCAAGTCAGGGAAGAGATGAACCACAAATGAAGACTTTGGCCATGGAAGATGAGCAACAGGCAGATAAAGCCACAGAACAAAACTGTATCAAGCCTTGACTTAGGATCCCAACCTTTCATCGGCGATTCAAAAACTTTATTCAGCATCAGGAACATACTGATGAGAAAGAGATTGAACAAATATGAGTGTTTATGCCTAGACTAACCCTCTCTTCCACAAGCAAGACCTTTGCTCTGGCCCAAAATTCCTGTCCTGGAAGAGATTCATTTCAATGGCGCTCTCAACTCTGTAGGTAGGTCACACTGTCTTTCCAAATACTTGATTATCATAGAGCCATTCAAGGGCCAGGTGAGATTTCTTTGGTTTTGCCTTCCAAAAGATGGTGCCTATCATCCCTGTCGGTCCTGAGGAGTGCAAGTGGAAACAGCCAAGATGGGCGTGGTAACCTTCCTCCAATGAACAAGAAGTTATCGTCACCAGGCATCTTCTTCCTTCTCCCAGGACTAGAATTACATATTGAGTATCTTTGTCCTGTGTCACCTTAACAACAAAATCAAAGATGGGACACCTCTTTGGACAGCTCTGTAACATCAGCCAGCTCAACCCGTGGTCCCAGAATTTAAGTAGTTATTCCAGTTCAGCTAGATTAGGGGCTGTCAGACTTCTTGCCCTGGAATTCCTTGCCGTTACCAAAGTCCCACTAGTCTGCGCCATCTACCCAGCACTCAGCCAGGGACTCCAGGCACATAGGAAACAGGATGAGGCAGGGAAGCTGGAGGACAGTCGGCAAACGGAGGAGGAAACTTGTTTAAAGTAGAATGAGAACCTCCTGGAGCAGGTTTGCATAGCAGAATGTGGGGGCCAAGGCAGGTAACTGAAAGTAATGCATTTTCCTGGTGAAAATGTTTTGGTTTGTTTTTTTTGGTTGGGGGGGGTCGTTTGTTTTCGAGATGGAATCTCATTCTTGCCCAGGCTGGAGTGCACTGGTGCAATCACGGCTCACTGCAACCTCTGCCTCCTGGGCTCAAGTGTTTCTCCCGCCTCAGCTTCCTGAGTAGCTGGGACTACAGGCACATGCCACCACACCCACCCAGCCAATTTTTGTGTATTTTTTGTAGAGACGGGGTTTCACCCTGTTGCTCAGGTTGGTCTTGAACTCCTGGACTCAAGTAATCCTCCTGCCTCAGCCTCCCAAAGTGCTAGGATTATAGGCACGAGCCACCATGCCTGGCCCCAAAATGTATTTTCTGATAACAAAGGGAATATGCAGCAAGGCCAGGAGTAAACCTAGAAGCTGTTCTTCTGCCAAGACTCACCTTTCTATGGGAAAAGTTCTATTGTAAATGATGCTGTTCTACAAGGGCAACAATGCTCCAAACCTCAGCCCTAAGCTGTGTGGTATCAGGTACCAGTCCTCTCCTCAAGTCTTCTTGGCTATACCATCAGTTTCAATATTCCTCAGCCTCCCACCATCTGTAGGATCCAGCCCTACAGGGTTCTGTGAGCCACTCCCGGCTGGTGTGGAAATTAGAAATTGTAGAAATAAAAGGCATAAGACACAGAGACAGAGAAAAGAGAGTTTGGGCCCAGGGGTCCGCTGCTACCCAAATCATGGAGACCAGCAGTGGCCCGGAATGCCAGGACGCTCTCACTTTTATGAGTTGCAAATCTGGGGGCAGGTTAGGTAGGGTGTGGCCTTGTGGTCAGAGACTGGGGGCAGGGTAGGTAGGGTGTGGCAGTGATAGGATCAAGTGCATCACGTGTCAATCAGGTAGGGGCTCAGGAATTTCCAGCACCCGAAGTGAGGTAAGGAGCATAAGGCATCAGCACCTTTTCCATACTTAACAAGAAAGAACCAAAACATTAAGATTTATATTACTATTACTGATGATCTTTTCTAAGAAAAAAGGAACCAGGTGCAGAAGCAGAATATGAGAGTAGCCATGGAACGTGACCACTGAAGCACAGCATCACATAGAGACAGTTAAGCCCCCGGATGTCTGCGGGCCTCCTGACAGCCATCAGGCCCACCACAAGAGCTTGGAGAAGCACAGTTTTCTCCTAACTTCCCCAGGAAGGAGATGTCTCGGCCATTTTGGACATCTCCTCCCCTAGTTGGCTAAACAGCGGACGCTTTCACAGCACTGGCGCTGCTGCACCCCGAGGCGCCCTCCAGCAGCCCTCATGCGGGCGTGACAGAGGGCTTACAGCGTCTTGCCTTTGTGTCCTTCATTTCACAATGTCACCCCCAGGTTCACACTTCTGACCTCCGAGGCATTAGTAAAAGAATTAAGATCATCTATGAATAACTAGGATCACATATGAATAATAACAACTACGGTTATATTTCTAGTTACTTTCTTCTTCATTATTTATAGGGAAATAGGCAGAGGCCTTTTGCTCCTGCCTCGGCGCTTATGGGATCTCACCCCTACAACCAACTACCTTTCAATTCACACAGGGGCCTTCTACAGCAGCTACAGTGGCAATGATAAAACCAGTATCCCAGGATCAGCCCAGTGGGCACCAGCAGCCTTTGACAAAAGCTGAAAGACAGATCTTGAACAGTAGAAGCTGGGAAGGGGAAGTGAATGTGGGAAATGAAATGGGAACAGGCTGGGCTCCTGTACACGTTTGATGCCAGCACATGGGTATACCATTTACAGGAGGATAATTCTAATATCACTTTCTCTAGTGCCCTCCAATCCCTTATAACTCTGCCTCGGCCTTTCTGCCTTCCTTCTGCTTGCCAGACGCCAGCCTCCTCTGGTGTCAGTATTCTCACCTCATTCAGATTCCTCCTTCTTGGTATGGCAAGTGTGACAGGGATTGCAGTGAAGCAAGGTATTCAGGGATACAGATCCCTAAATACAAGGTACAAATCGAAAGCTCAGGTAGAAGTACCCTTGACAGGCCTAGGAGCTATTCTATAATTGCTGCTCACTAATTATAGGATATTGGAAGAATTTCTTCCCGTCTGGGCATCAGTTTCTCCATAGGTAAGATGAGAAGACACTTATTTCAATTAGATGTGATGAAACTGAAGCCTAGTGAAGATAAGTAACTTCTAGTCTCATATTAGAGCCGGTATTTAAACCCCAAACCTCTCATTTGAGCCCTAGGAAGCAGAGTGAACCAGAAGAAAAGCAGTCCTTGCATGAACGGCAGGCTGGCTTCATGTCACAAAATACCCAGAAAGTCTCAAGTTCTGAGATGGGGTTAAATCATACAGTATTTTGGTGACTCAATATTCCTGGTAGAAGCGAGCAAATACTCTGGAAGCTGTTATCCTAGAGTGAATTTCTCAAATAAGTTTTAAATATTATGTCCAGCATGTAGAAAATCCAGGTACATGAATAAAC